AAATACTTGGCAATCCTCCTGTTTGAACACAAGTAAGAGCTCTAGTACAGAAATATTTAATGACTTGAATATAAGTCATATCAACATCTTTCCTCTCTATAAGTCTCCAAAGGACTTCTCTTTGAACCTTATCGTAAGGTTTTTTTTCTAAATCAACAAAAATCATATTCAGATCCTCCTTATTCTCTTTGTAATTCTCCATCAAGCATCTCTATAAATGTACAGCTTGCATAGTAGACATGTTCGGCATAAATTCAAACTGATTATAAAAAATCTTTGTATCACGTCTTAACTTATGCTCAATTGCTCTCTCCCATAATTTTAAAGTATGACACATCAACTTATGTTCTCGAGAATTTGCACGCTCTTGTGCATCCCTTTATTCTTAAAAATGACAATAAAGTACTCTTCCTCCACTCCTCAGGCATCTTTTTAGTTTCTAAAATAATATTAAAGAGTTTAATAAGCCAAAAAAACTCTCAAATCTCATAAATATTTCCACGCTTCAATTGGGATGTCATCAGGTCCTACTGATTTTCCAACCTTGATTTTTTTAAAGCCTCCATAACTTCGGCTTTACCAAAAGTTTCTCAATACTACAAAACATATATATTTATGATTAATATATAAGCTACTAAATGTTCAAAATTCCATAAAACATGGAAAAAACAACTCCTCTTAATTAAGAAATAGTTTCCTTAGTCCAACTACTTCCATTAACACAATCAAAATTAATCTGAGATGTTTTTCATCTTCAATGCAAAAATCATAGTGTCATCAAAATACACCACTTATCTAGCCATAAATGGTTTAAGAACATGACTCATCAATCACATTAATATATTTAGTACCCTCAGTAAACCAAAAGACATAACCAACCATTACATATAAGACATCTTAAGTTTTTAAAAAATGTCTTTGATTCACCTCAAGATTTAATCCTAACTTAATGGTAAAGTTTGGAAAAAAAGATCGCACCACGTCTAAGTCAATAAATCATTTAGTGTAGATACATGCATTAGTTTGAGTGTAAACAAACCAAAACTAAGTGAACTGATTGCTCATTTGAAATTTGGCGAATTCATGTTATCGCGTGTTTAAAATTTTTTATTATGTGTTAATGTTCGATTTATTAAAATTCCAACCAAACATGAGCCAACTACGAGTCAATTTCAAACAAATGAAAATAAATAAATCATAAATATAATATGATAGAATCATTCTACTTATCTGCTAACTAATTTCAAGTCAATAATGAGTTGAACATAATTGATTCAGCTCTTTTAAAAATCGAGCTCAAAGCATTTGTTTGTATTGAACTCACTTAACAAACGAATCAAATACGAGCTGTTTAGCAAGTTGAACATGAGCTACTCATAAATGGCAAGCTTTTTCTACATTCTAATATAAGAAAAACCTATATTTTTTGGTAATTACATTAAAAGCTCTACTGTCAGCATATATCCTCAAGAATCATATTTTTAGAAATCAATAAAAGATGCACAGCTCAAAGACAAACTTTCCTAAAGAAGTCATTTCCTATATTGATCATATAACTACATTTTTAGTATAGCAGGCTAAGAAGGAATCAAACTTATAATAAGAAAGAGTTGTAAATTGTGAACCAGGAGCAAAGTCAATAGCTGATAACATGTCACCCATACGAAGCAGATAATCAGGTAAATTTGTAAGAGAACATCACTAAGAGCTAATAACAAATATAAAGGAATGACAGAAATGTGAGTTTCAATAATTTTGTGTCCCCTTGAGAATAATCTAGGCTCCTCCTAGATAGAAAACGGATATTAGTATGAACAAATACAAAATCTTCAGCTCGTTGCGGATTAAATTGTTCCTCTTATGTAAATTGATAAAAGTATATGTACTCATATTTTTTTCACAACAAGAAGATGAATACGATTGAGCAACAATTTGAAAGCTAAACTTTAAAGTTATAAGGAACTTGCTCCATAAATCATCCACCTAGCCTTCCCATCCATAATAGCTCTGGAAGCTATGAAGTCATGATCAACAAAAGCACCACTAAATTCAAAGAAATTAGCAAACTGCAAATTAACAATTGATCTTTCTTCAATCTTTGGGAAAATCCTCTTTAAGCATTTATTTCTCTCAATTGATATCTCCAAGTCCTTATGTGGAGCAACACGATTTGGAGCTTCACATAGCCAAGTGTGGCTATAATACCTAATAAAAAAAGCACTTATAGGTGACAAAATTAATATAAATTGGGATCTATGGAGCACGGATACGGCGACATTACATAATTGAAAATACTAAGAATGATACGACATACACATTTTTTATATTTAATAAATTATTAATATAATTATATAGTTTTTATATATTTTCGACTAAAGACATTACAAAACAGTAAATTAAATCATTAACAAACTTTATCATGATAAAAATTATTTTTGAAAATATCAAAATTACATTCAAAATATCAAAAAATTACCAAAACACTTAATATAAATGTCATCCATAATAAAATGAAGCAAAATATAGCAAAATGTTATTAATACATTCAGCAGTGGTGTCATCATTTGTGCTAGCTCCATTGCCCTTATCAATAACAAATTCACCTTCATCAACAAAAAACACTGTTTCTAAGTATGACTCATCAAGAGAAAGATTAACAACTTCAAGTATTCCAATATCCACCATTGCAGCCAAAACATCTCCACCAACTTCCCGTAATTTAGTGCCCCCTTGAGAATAATCTAAGCTCCTCCTAAATTGAAGACGGATATTAGTATGAACAAATACCAAATCTTCACCTAGTTGCGGATTAATTTTGTTCCTCTTATGTGAAATGATAAAATAATATATACTCCAGTTTCTTTCGCAACAAGAAGATGAACACAGTTGAGCCAACAATTTGAAAACTAAACTTTACAGTAGCAGGTAACTTGCTCCATAAATCATCCATCATTTCTTTCCATCCATAATAGCTCTATAATCTTTGGAGTCGTGATCAGCAAAAGCACCACTAAATCCAATGAAATTAGCAAACTCCATTAGCAACAGATCTTTCTTCAATGTTTGAGAAAATCCTCTTTAAGCATTTATTTCTCTCAATTGATATCTCCATGTCCTTATATGGAGCAAAGCGATTTGGAGCTTCACTTAGCCAAGTGTGACTATAATATCTAATAAAAAATGCACTATAAATGAAAAAACTAAAATAAGTTAGGAAGTGAATATTAAAGCCCATCTATTGCGATTTCAAAATTTTGAATAAGGCTTGAAGCAAATAATGCATCCATGACCATAGATTTTGTAGGAGTGACCATATGTGATCAAATCGTCATTCAACTTTTGCCGATATAGAAGTGTCAACTCAAATTTCCCTGGCAAAAAGGACAAAAAAACCAAATGGATGGGAGAATATAGTGGTATTAGTATCTACTTGTATTAGTTTGCCATATATAGATTGCAAGAACATAACGAAAAACAATCCAAACTGAGCTATGGGAGGCTCAACAAAGGTATCAAACTACCAAGACTACATCAAAGTATGCATAGAGAGAGCATTCACATGATGTAAGTGATGAGTGTAAAATCTTACATAACCAACTTCAGAGCATAACTATATATATACATGATGATGATCGGTAAATCCAACAAAGAATTCAACACTGAGATGTAAATCTAACAAAGAATATATGTATAATCTACAAAATTGAATGGCCAAACACAAATTTCCCAACCAAAATGCAAGACAAAATGTGACATATCTGAAATTTTTTACACTTTAAAAAAGAAAGCAGGTTTAACCTGAGCAACTTAAGCCTAGTAATCATGCCCTATGTTGGAAGAATGGAGAAAAAACATATAAATTAAGTATATTGCAAAGCCTTTTTCCCTACCAGCAATAGCAAGAGATAGAGAGACAGCATGTTACGTCAGTGTCTAGCCTAAGAACAATTTTGTCTTTTGTACGCATAAGGACAATTTTGTCTTTTATCATTATTAATATTGGGTATAAATAGGTTTATTATATTTAAGGTTAGGAGCATGTATGAGATTGAGTCGTGTATCTTAGGTTTAGGGTTTGGGAAAGATTTCCTTCATCTCAAATTGTAGGAAATGGGAGAGATCGCCTAACCTCGAATTGTAGGTGTTTATCTTTTGTATTCGTGAGTTAATATTATTGCATCGCTTTGATTTGGTGTTCGGGAAATAGAACGTGTTTGCCCTAATTTCTGTGAAAAAAACATGTCGATTTTGACATCGGATTGTATCAAATTGGTACATGTCATATACAACTAAAGCTATATAAATTTGCAACCGTCAACGAAAGAGTAATTTGAGTCCCAAAATCCACCTCTCTGCATCCGGTGATCAAAGGAGTTATGCTTGCTTCTTCCTTATACATTTATCATACTTCACTAAACTATCACCTAAAGCTCCTCAGTACATTCTGTAACACTAAAATAATTCAATAATACCAAAAAACCCTAAAGAATGTGTCATTAACGATCTGTAACAAACACTTACCAAAGTGATAAGGCATTGTCATATAGTTCTTCACATCAAAGCAACTCCGATCTCATAATCAGGCAGCTCTTCAAAACTCCCACTTATGAGAGTCCACCATAAAGCAACACAGATCCTCCTTATCGTACAGTTATAATCAAGCATTTTAAATTAAGGTAGCAGCCAACTAAAAACCAGGTCAGAGGTGGGCGACTGTTACTGCCTGTTTAAAAACTGAGCACATTATCAGCAACCTTTATCAGTATATTCATTAACCAAACTTCAAATCTCAAAAAAGAACGACATAACTTCAGGCATTCGAAACGACGATTAGAAATCAACGAAACTCCACCAAGCAACCCTAGCGCTACAATTCAAACAATTAAAAACCATAGCATAAATTCCTAAAATAAATCAAGATTCTCGAAAACGTAGAGCAGAAATCTCACAAAAGTATTTTACATAGCGAATCATCCAGTTCTTAAAAGCAAGTAGCGTACTGGTAAGTGCGAGAACTCTGGGCTTGGCCATGTGCCGACCAAGGCCAAAACGACCGGCTTTGCCGAGGATGCTCCGACTCTTCGCCACACGTACCGCCACCAATACCTTCTCCCCGCCGACAGCGGCCTCGCTCGCCCGCCTCAACTCCTCGTCATCCGCCCTCGATTTCGCCATGATCTCTCTCTTCTCCCCCGAGCCGTAGCAACAGATCTCTTCTTCCGATCAAGGAAATGAATAAAAACTGACACTGAGCCGCCGACGAGCCGGATCGTCAGCTCGCAGTCATTCGGTTCCCACTAGGAAATACGCGCGCGGAGTAACCATAGGCGATTTCAACGTGCACACTATTTGACAGTTCTAAGGTGATGAGCACGTGTCCCTATGTCTAATAAAATTTCCTAAAATATATATCCTTAAAATTTTCATTCTTTTTTTTTTTTTTGAGAAAATATTACAGGTGAAGTCAATAATTTTGTCACTTGTAAAGTAACTCGCATTAAGTTTATGAAATAAAAAAAGGGAAAAAAAGTAATTATTTGACATGACTAGCCCGAAAACAACACACTTCTTCCAAAACAAATCCGTGAGCTATCGCATCATTTTTTTTCTTTGTAATTTCCCACCCGTATTCGGTTTCGCCACTTGATTTTCTCCTACAATTTTAGTAGTTAGGGTTTCACTTGTTCAAAATCTCTCGCATTATCTATGAGTTCAGAAGAAGAGCAGAGCAGAGAGTTTAAGGTTTCGCTACTAGTACTGAGAACTACTGCCGACACAAACTTATGTTTCTACTTACAGTCCAACAAACGAGCTAAACTAATCAAACATTCACTTAGGTGATATGTTTGATATGTTTTAAACAAGCTTTGGTTTTTAAAATCATGTAAACTCATGCAGTTGCTCAATATACAATATTTAGGGTTTACGATAGGACATTTGCAAGTCAATCAGAAATTTGCCCGGTAAACAGGGAGAAATAAGTAGGTAGTATTTATTTTTTCAATATTTAATTAGCATGTGTAAACCGTAAGTAATCGAGAAGTGTAGTGCTTCATTTGTCCCATTTGTTCAATGTACTCCGTGCAAATATCTCATTATAATCATATATATTCATGATTTAACATTGTAGAAAAATGAATTTTATTTGATAAGGTTTATTTGTTCAATGTGTTGGGAAAAATATTAAATATTCATTTTAACCATATATATTCATAATATCTTTGGAGAATAATGAACTCGATTTAATAGGGTTTATTTGTTTAATGAATTTGGAAAAACACAAAACATTCTCTTGTACCAACACAATACCACCACATTTTTACCATATTACCCCCAATAAACCTTCATGAGCACTATAATATCATCATATTAACATCATACTATCATCACAATATTAACATATTACAAACCAATATTGTCAAAATACCACCATAGTATCATCGTAAGATAACCACAATATCACCATAGCAGGAGCATAAGATAATCACAATACCACGATGATATCACTAAAGAAACACTAGAATAATACAAGGTGCCACCAAAATATCAACACTATATCACTAGAATAATATCAAAAACACACCAAGATATTAGCATAATACCACCAAATATCCACCACATTGCAACCCCAATATCATCATAATACTATCACATTATCATCATAATATCACCACAATTATGGTGGTATTATGGTGATATTTTAATGATTATTTGATGGTATTTTGGTGGTTTCTAGTGAGTATTGTGCTGGTATTATGGTTGTATGATGATGATTTTTTTGTGATATTTGAATGATAATTTGATGGTAATACAGTCGTTATCTAGTGGTATTTTAATGTCATTATGGTGGTATTCTTATGATATTTTTGTGTCATCAGAATGTTATTATTGTGAAATATGGTAGTATTATGATTGTATTCTTGTGGTATTACAATGATATTTTGGTTGTATTATGGTGGTATTGTTGTTATAATTTGGTGTTTTTACAATGATATTATGATAGTATTATGGTGGTATGGGGTTTGTAATGTGGTGTTAATTTTTTTATTGTTTGATATAGAATTTTGTTGGTATATGAGATGGTAATTTGGTGAAGTTGGGTTATAGAATTATGTTGGTATTTTTGTCGTATAAGAGATGGTAAGATTATTTGGATCCTGAGTATGGTCATGCTTATGTTAAGCTTGATGCTTTAACTCTCATTACTCGTCAAGTTTGACCTGGCAAGCAATATTCGTTAATGCATCGTGACCTATACACAGTCACTCGCCTTTCGAGCTTAGATCGTTATTCATTCACTTGCATATTAAGCCTGAATCGCTATTCATGCATGCATACAAATGTAAATCTAAACAATCGTGTGATATAAGTGGTGATGAGTGTGTTGTGAAGTCGGTGACTTAGGAGGGGGCTTACCATGAAGGCAGTGGCCCATAGGAGTGGGTTTGTCGTGGAGGTAGTAACCCGAAAGATGAGCATGTCGTGGAGGCAGCAGCTCGAAAAATAGGCGTGTCACAGATGCAGTGACTTGGATGATGGTGTGTTGTGGAGGCAGTGATCCGAAGAATTAGTGTAGCATGGAGGCAGTGACCTGAAGAGTGGATGTGTCGTGGAGGCAGTGGCCCAAAAAGGTGAGCATGTCGTGGAGACAGCAGGCCGAAAAATGATGATCCCCACTAGGAGAACCATGATAAATGGAGTGAGTGTAAGAATGAATACTCAAAATGCAACTCAAGCATGTGATAGAGATATATGCAAGATGTCATGCAGGACATATATCGTAAGAGATATTTATGTTTTGTCGACTAAGGTATAGGATGCCCTCAAGGAGAATTATACCTTAAGCCAATAATGATTGGACGCTCATGCAAACGACAAGGGTATGGTCACCATATAAGCAATTAAACAGACACTAATGCACATGCAAGACATACACTATGCAAGTGATCAGTCAACCAAACCAAGCTGACCTTTCGGACCGGGGTGATCGGTCAGACCTAAGAAGTTGGTCAACCGAGCCAGGGGAGACAGGTCAGACCAAAGTACAGTGTTGACTTGGTTGGGGTGGTCGATCGAGGTAAGGTGCTATGTTGACTGAGCCAAGGTGGTCGAATGAGGTAATGCAGGTACAACATGCTTCATTTAAGGCACACATCGTGTTTAAATACAAATTAGATGATCAAGCTCAGTAGCAAGCCATATTCATGCTAACGTTCTCACTCGGGCACCTAGGGTTTAACATATGGATACGCGACATAGCCACCTCCGGCTTTGGTGAGGAACACAGAGACTTCATGCTTTATTTACCTATAGGAGAAATTCTTCATCGATTGTAGGGTGGATAACTACAAAGTTTTTTCCATCCTGCAATCCCTCCATGATATTATAGAATGTGTTAGCTATTGAGCATTTCCAATTATTCGAGATCCAACCATTCTAAACTCTCCAATTTCAGCCCAATAGGATTTAGATCTAGGGTTCACAATGGAAAATCACTTAGCTTCGCAAAAGGTTTGTCCATGCATGTGATTCCTAACCTAGGGCTTTCCCTAAAAAATCAATGGTCAATTAAAAGACTTGTGGTCATGCCGACATCAAGTCAAATCTATTCCTAGGGCTAGCTAAGGAATAAACCGTGAAAGCTTTTGAAATCTCAATACCACAGAGGTTGCAGACAAATTTTATCAAGTAGGAGGAAGTTCTTCTAATGATAGGAGAGCAACCCATATTTCAGTGAAGCTCCAGAAAGAGCCACGCCACTCCTTATCCAAAGGACAAAGAAGCTCTACTCTAGAAGGACAGTGCGGCGAGACTCTGATAAAGTTCTGACGATACTCGTGCAATCCTTCCCTAAGCTTGGGTGAAGATCTCCTCGCAAACTCAAGAGAAGTGGTGGAGGAAAATGAAGGAGGGGAGGAAGAAGAGTTTCTTGTGGAAGAAAAAGAAAGGTAAGATGAAGTAGAAGCTCTCACTCTCACATTTTTACCAAGCTCTCTACCTTGAGGCCATCAAAAAGAAGCCCTAGCTCCAAAGAAGAAGAAGCCCTCCCTTGCCCTCTCAAGCACTCCAAACATCAACTCTCCAAAATTAAAAATGAGAGGAGATGGGGATGAAGTGAGGTTCCCTTAGGTTAAAATCAGCTAACCTAAGAAAATCCCCAACTTGCCTGTTGTTTAAGCCAAAAATGGCTAATCAGGGGTACTTAGGGCATGCCAATTGAGGCTAAACGATTTAACACCCCTATGCATATCTTCTCAAGCCCAAGGAGATTTTGCAATGCCAGCTCTTTGAGGGGTGTTTTGACATTAAATCAATAGAAACATGCTTTTTTGTGACATGGAAATGAATCGACGCCTATGCATCGCGTCCCTGGCGCCTACGCGCCCGACCTCTGATGCATAGTTTTGAATTATATAGCTATTTTGGGCACCTAAACTCCAGTCTTGACCAGAAACTAACGCTAGACTTCTAGAGGCTTAGTTTTGACAATAAGAGAGGGCATTTTGGGTGTTTGGGCACCCAAAGCTAGTGTCTAGGTGTCGGTCTTGCTTTGAAAACCCTAGTTCACACCAGAAATGTTTGACGAAAGATTTTCTCAATCAGAAAGCTATGAGAGACCACATATGAGTGATTTATGATACCATAACCTCAAAAATGAGTTTTTTTCTCATCCATTGATCGAAGAATTTGTCACCGACGGGCGCTCCGGACTATGGTGTGGGTAGGGCGTTACAAACCCTAATTTTCTTTAACACGCGTAGGAGGGTTGGGTACTTCTCTTGACCCTCTAAATGGATACATAGAAACCTCTAAACACTAGAGAAGACACCAAGCATGTTCAATTTCCTTAGCAAGCCCACCCTATGACAAATTCTCTTCGGTAAGGATGAATCATCGTAGATCCTAGTTTTGCGCCCCAAACACGTACCAGGGTCTCGGATGGGTATCTTGAGGTATGGGATGCTAAGAATGAGCAATGAATCATCCTGAGCTAGTCATGTGGATGCCTTACACATGTACATAAAAAATTGATGTCAATTAAGGACCCTCAACAAGTGTGCGGTGTCGTTAAGGCATAGTGCACTTGCTAGAAGCAGATCAATTTTTTTATTGATCCAAGATCATTTATGCAATCAACATAACCAGAATGACCAAAAGAGCTAGGAGTTTTGGGAAGGAGAATTCTGAGAGTCATATACAATCATAGGGTGT